TGTGTAGGATTGAGCACATCTCTGTGTATGTTTCTGTCAAAACCAGAGTTGGTGCAGCTCAACTTTTCCATTTCTGTTGGTTTTTTGACTTGCTTAAGAACCTGACCCCAAAAACCGTTTCGTGTTACATTACATTTCTATTGTTTCCATTTTCCTCACATGGAGCCACAGAAAAAGGGCGGCCATTTTTAAAAGGTTGACAGTGCCTTACTTTTAGAACCAAAATAGAAACCAGAACTGAACGTAGCTCTGTGGAGTGAAGACAGACGCTAGAGCTGTGATTTAGTCTCACAGTCGAGTTAAATTTTAACTACGTTATTTGCTTGATTTGACTTGAACATAACGGTGAAACGGGCTTGTCTGTGCATTTACTGCCTCGCCTGATTCTAGCAGCCATGATGTTTCCATGTATGGTGTTGAATTTGAAAAGTTTCTTCTCTTCTGAGACTTTTTGATTAGATCTTGATTTTCTTCTATTTTGAGTTGGTGAAACTCTTATAAGGCAGATAACAGATCAGAAGATGTAGCAACCAGTGGGGTGGAGGAAATGACAGTGCTGTGTAAAAAAAACTGGTTTCATGTGACTCATAAAGTAAAATATCTGGTCCTTTTTGGTAGCACAAAGTTCACTTACCTCCATCTGGAATAAAAGAAGAGATGACCATTAGTTTTCTTTTCACCTATAGTGTAACGTTTGATCAAGTTATGATAACTTGTCTGATCAAACTGGCATCATTTTACCTAAAGATGGGCTGAATAAGAACAGAAAGTTAAGAAAAATGAATAAATACCAACAGAAACACCGTAACAATTAATCGTCTCCTAATAAATCCTGATTCGGTTTCAGAACTATGTTTTTCAGCTATTTTGAAGCATATTTTTGTGTAAAGGGTAGAAATAATTACCTTCATTACTGTTGTGGATAGCTTTCTGAAAGGCCTCTGTTAGGAGAAATAGAGTTTATGCTCTACGCTAAAGGCTAGTCTGAGCACATAAGGTTTTACTGCCATTCCTAAAGAAGCTCCATTCTCCTACATTTCACTATATAAACCTTTTCTCTACTCTCAGTGATACACGTGACCCCCTATTCCCCTGGAAGTGCTACATTATGCTGCTATAGGGACTCTAAGTCTCCTCTGTTCCGGTCGGCTAATGGGTCCCTGGAAGAAAGAAAAAATGAATGCAAGTCAAACGGGGATAAAAGAGCTATTTAAAATTCTTATTCAGTATGACCAAATCAGTTGTCGATACGTCGCACATATGACGTCACCACAGAGACTCCTCTGCCCTAGCGTAGCTGCTACTTACCACTTGTTAAGATTTATGGTGGTTCTTTCCTCCTGCAGGAATGATTCAAAGTTCGCTTAAAGCCATTTTACCTCTGCTCTTCTCCATGCCTGGTTCGATGACGTCAGTTTGGTGATGCACATTTGTAGTCCTGGGCCTATTTTCACACAAAACCTAAAATTACTTTTGCTGCTGTTCGAAAGTAAGCGCTTTGTTGGCATCAAAATGCGTCTTAAAAAAATCACAGACAACGTATGTGAAATGCATGGAACATAACAGACGGGATTTGAAAATAATGTTTTCAGCCCCCCCCCCCCCCCCCCCCTGCATTCATTTTCGTCATTATTTTTCATTGGGCGGGGCTCGGGCCCCCTATTTTTATGTTAACAAGTAACTAAGTAGCTGAGTACAAGTTATTCTGTCATGTGATTGACTCCTTTGAAAAATTATGTCAGTTAGAAATTTTGGATAGTTGAAAGTCACTTTTAAGGTCTCAGTTACATTAGCTTTAGTATATTTTAAATAACTGTTTGCTTTTTTGGTGACCACGTATAATTCGACTTGGTGGGGCATACAGCTTTATTTAATGTAAATTGACAAATAACTCAAAATTTCACTTTTGTGGTTGACTGAAAAAACATTTTTGAATTATTATTTCTGATAGTGAAAATCTAGGGTTTGAAAATCCTGACAGATCCGTGTCACTTTGCCACTGAGTTTTCATGGACCATAGGACCCCTAAATATCTACTGTAAGAGATTAGTTGTCATTTTTGTAAAACTACCATATTTTAATTAGTTCTTAAAAGTAAGAATTTTTTTTTTAAGTTTGGATTTTTTTCTATGGGATGTTGATATTATTGGAAAATTTGGTGAAAATAAGTAGGCCTACTGTAAAAAATGTATGTACTGGTACTTCTAGTGTCATTCTATTGTGGAAGTATAGACAAAGCTAAAAATGGGCTTCAAAACAGGTTTCCAAATATTAAAGGGCATCTCCAACCAATATTTCTACTCATTGATCATCTTGGACCAGTGGTTCCCAGCCTGGAATCCATGATCCACCCAAGGAGATCCACACAAAATGTTGTTAGTTTCTCTAAACCTGGACCAGATTCTGCTACAGTGTTAGCTGAATATGTTAAACATATAGATACTGATGTGTAAAAGCATCATTTGATTAGTAAAAACTGTGTTTTTGTTTTCTTTCATAAATGTGAGAATGAAATTGTGTAAAAATGTAGAAAATGTTGAAATTGATCTTGCTTGACTGGGTGGATCTCTGGGTGCCCAGCACCCCTAAACCTCTGATGCTAGAATCACCCCGTCATGGACTCACCCATCTTGACTCACGACAGGGAAGGCAGTTGTTGTTTTTGCGTCCATGCAACAGCAGGTTACGGCTAGTAGAAGCTAACCGTTAGCATTTGCAACTCCACCACACAGCAGAACTCCTCTAGGCTTGTGTTATTTGTGGAGATAAAGCTTCACTGTTGCAGTGCAAACAGAGTCAGTGGTAGTCGTGTTGCTGTTATCCAATCAGAGGTGAGATGTCCCAGTATCACCAAATAAGACTCCAAATCCTGTCGTCTGAAGCTCAGCTGTGATTTGGCTTCTTTCTAGTTCCTGGAAATAGTGCACCAGTGTTTTTTGCCCCTTAGTACAAAGCATTCATTCCTACTAGAGACCACTGATAATGTATTGATTAAACGAGTTTTCCACACCTTCAAATATTTGGAAACTATTATTTCAATCAGGAAAGTTTCAGGATTCCCCTCCTTTATTCAAACTTTGCAGTCATTGACTAATTCGGCAGCTGCTTGGTTACCAGCTAAGATCCAATCTGACTGGTTTAGAGGATGACCCTATTAACTCGATGACTCACTCCGCTGGTATTCATAAACCGTTTTGATTTACAGCCCATCTTCTTGTTGAGGCTTTTACTAGATTATGTTGAATATGTATGTTTCTTCCTTAAGAATCTTCATCATTTTTGTTGTTTTTCTAAGCACAACCTCTAAGAGGACGAGTCTTCTCCGCCTGTTAAAACTTAATAACAGCGGCTATAAGTGGTCAACAGCTTCAGGGAAGCTTCTGGGGTTCATCTTGTGCCTTTTTTTCCACATAGATTGAAATTTTAGCATTTTGAGTATACGGTTTTATTATTAAATCCAGTATATAGAATGCATTGTGGGTGGTAAATATGAACCACGATGCATTATGAATCTTGACCTGACACCAGTGGCCCGCAGCTGAACCCCACAAAAGGTCCCGAGGCTATTGGAGGGCACATTTCACAGGGCAGGGTTTGTTTTCCAACTGGAGAGGAGTTTTTCAGTCAGGAGCCCTTTTTGAATTTTATCTTATTTTTTATTTTACACGGGGTCGTAACATTTCCTGTAGGCTGAAAACGAGTGAGTGTACAAATATAGTAAAAATAGTAGGCCAGACCTCTCTCTCTCTCTCGCTCTCTCTCTCCCTCTCTCTCTCCCTCTCTTTCTCTCTCTCTCTCTCTCCCTCTCTCTCTCCCTCTCTTTCTCTCCCTCTCTCTCTCCCTCTCTTTCTCTCTCTCTCTCTCTCTCTCTCTCTCTCTCTCTCTCTCTCTCTCTCTCTCTCACACACACACACACACACACACACACACACACACACACACACACACACACACACACACACACACACACACACACAACACACACACACACACACACACACACACACTGTAATTCATCACAGTTCAAATCGCTGCATTGCATAAGGAGAAAAAAGATGCAAGTATTTATAAACAAAGGGCTAAAATTCACCTTTTTTATATTTCTTGCTGCAGCTTTTTACTTTTTATTTTTTGGAGCTTTTCCAGCTCGAATTGTGAAATTCCTGGTACTTTCTGCCTATGACTCAGCCCCCCAAGAGCTCCATCACACGTAACCTGGGTGAAGTGGCATCAGAGCTACAATTGTACAATCACACAGGGACTGAAGGTTGGAGTTGGGAAGTCCAAGGGAAGGAATGATGCGAGCGCTTTGTTATCCAGTAAACACATCCCTGAATCTTGCAGGCAGATGGAGCAACCGTCAGCGTCTGCTTGGTGTTAAGTGAAAGACGTGTTGAGGGTTACGCCGAGCCACCAGCCTTGGCCCTACGAGGCCCATCGCTGAGAGACGTAGGGAGACGGTCAGGAAATTGAGCCCATATGATGTTTTTCCACAGTCACTGAAGAGATTTAGGAGAGATGCATGGGTAGCCAAGAGAGCTGCGTTTGAGTGGGAGTCATGGAAAACAGGAGGGAAAAGGGAGAGAGTGCAGCCCACGCTGAGGAGAGAAAAGAAAAGAGAGTAGAGGAGGCGTTGGTGAGAGATGCAGTCTTCACTCCTGTGTTTCATACGGTATCTCACTAATAACAGGAAGTAAAGGTCTGAATGAATGTAAGGAAAGTGGCTGCTCCTTTTTATATAAATGTCACAGCTTATAACTTCCTGACATCTTAATAATTTACTGTAATTATTCCTGAAGGTAAATATCTGCAGGAACAATTATCCAGGAACTTGGTTGCTTACGTTCCACTTTTTGGCCTGTGAGAGATGATTTCGCTGCTTCTTTCATGCACCTGGTGTTATTTGTTTGTTTTTCTCTCTACATGTGTCACAGGTTAATGCATTTTCTCATCTTGAAACAGCAAAACTCTAAATGTGATGCTTTTTTTCACCCTCACAGTCACCCAAAGTTCGGCCTTTTTCTGCAATGGATGGCCTCCCCTTCTTCCTCAGCAGAGTTAAACCTGAACCCCCAGAAGACCTTCTCGCTCACGACCTCCACTTCCACACGCAAACCGAGCCTGTGGACCTGTCCATCAACAAACCCCGCCCCCTATCTTCATCTGCAGCCACCACCAAAACATTATTATCATCCTCATCATCATCATCCCCACATAGATCCGCATTCTCTCCATCTTCTTTATCGTCATCATCCTCCTCCTCCTCCCCATCGGTAATCACCTCAGCCTCATCGGTTCTAACGCCAGGCCCCCTGGTTGCCCCTGGAAGCGGGGTGAGAGGTCAGCCGTATTTGCACATCCTGCAGTCTGTGCCGCCGCCTCCGTCCAGTCCTCTAAGCCTGCAGGGAGCAGGGAAGCTGGCCAGCCATGTTCACCGCATCCCAGTTGTGGTGCAGTCACTGCCGCTCATGTACACCGCCGCGGTGCGATCGCCCTCCAGCCTCAACAACGCTATCATGCTACCTCTGCTGGAAGACGCCAAAAGCCAGGGCAAAGGTGAGGCTGTTTTCTCCCGGTGTGCTACATATTCATAAGAATGGCTTTGTTCTTTAGAAATGTCTACTTAACCTTTTTGATTGTTTTCAGTTACTTTTCCCGTGGTCTTTATTATATGTCATTCTGCTTACACATAAAGTTAATAAATGATGTCATTTGAGCTGCCACTATAGGAGACTTACTAAGACTGTGAGAAAACATGCAGGTTTTCACTGAGTTTATCAACAAACTGCCACTTTTGACACATGTATACATTATATATATATATATATATATATATATATATATATATATATATATATATATATATATTTTTTTTTTTTTTTATGTAACCTTCTGTTATTAGCAGAGTCTTTGTGAATGTCAGCTTGTTGTTTTCAGGTCTAATTTCTCACAATCTAGTTTCATATTTTGCAACCCCTCCCAAAGTTGGCTCATATTTAACTTTGAAGAAAACGTTTTTAAATCTTATATCTGATTATAATCGGTCACTCTGAGTTTTTCATGCAGGTTCAATATGAAAATAGTCTCCTACAGCTATCTCCTGCATTAGCTTCTGATAGAAAACAGACAGTGAAATGTTAGGAGTGGAAAAACCCGACGGATCTACGTCACACTGTTACTTGACATTCACGGACTCACCCATCTAGACATGTGACCTTGAAAGCTGTTTAGCATCCAGGAAACAGCAGAGGACATCTCGAGTAGCCGAAGTTAATCATTACAGACCGTTAGCAACTTCACCACACAGCAAAACTCCTTCAAGCTTGTGTTATTTGTGGAGATGAAACACCAATGTTGCAAATTTGTGGAAGACGCATTTCTGTTAGCCAATCAGAGGCGAGATGTCTGCATATCAGGAAATAAGACTCCAAAACCTGTCATCTGAAAATACTTTCTCCTCCAGCTGACATCTACTTCCTGATTCAGGCACATCTGACTGACTTACAAAGCGTTTGTTTCCTATTAGAAAACCACTGCAAATATATTGATTAAAGGCATGAACCACAACTTTAATTTGCAACCTATTGCCAACAGTTGCAGCTCATGACATACTGGTTAGAGCATAAAGGACTGTGATTGTATTGTGTCCAAAGTGTGACTCAGGGAACATTTTTGGTCCTCGGAGTAAATTTGTGTGGCCATAATTACATTTCTGGAATGGTTGCATTTTGCCATTTCAGCAGACTTTTACAGACACTTCATCAGATTTTTACTAATATGCATATTTCAAGGTCTACTTTTGAGTAGTGCAAAAAAAAATCACTATAAAATAATTTTTGCATATTTGTAACCCATGAGGACTTTTAACGTGAGAATTTTAGCTCTTCTCTTTAAAGGGTTGGACACCACTGTATCAAAGGGACACATGCAGACAAACCAAAATGTTTAAAACCTCTTTCAGTATTCTTGCACCATGCAGTCGTTGATTCCAGAATGACCTTAACAGAGAACATGTTTGTGTTCACGGTTGTCTGCCTCTGTGCTAACCCTGAGATGGACTGGTGACATGTCCAAGGTAAACTCCTCCTCTTTCCCACTGACTTCTGGGATTGGCACCACCCACTACACAACCCTGAACAAGGGCATAAAGCAACGAAGAACTTGCTGCAATATTGATGTGACGACACATTGGATGTGCTTACAACGAGCTGTGTAGAATGGCTTATCAAACATTCTGTAGTCATATTACTCACTACGATGTGAAGAGTAGCCTAAAAGTTTGCACATTTAGAATGATGAAAATGGTGCTTTTTCATGCAGACCAGGTTCTTTGCTTCCATCCAGAAGCAGAGCAGCTTGGGTAGAGCGAGTGTTAAAGTTCCTCTGCCTTGAGTGTTATTGGTTTGCTTTGGGTGTGGTTTTATAGCTGGCCACTGAAAGAGAGCTTGCATAGGTGTTTCTGTCCAAGTCTGAGCCAAGCGCAGGGCAACTTTTGGTCGTAAACGAGGTCACTCCCTGCAGAACGGATAGACACATTTAGACTTGCACTCACACCCATGTACAGTACGTTCTGTACATACAACCAAACAACAAAGACGTGTAATTAGAGCATGTGCCTAGACAGACACTCGGCCGGCTGGGTGGGGTGGTCCTCAGAGATGGGTGTTTTAAATTCTCTTGAGGAGACTGAGAGAGAGAGAGAGAGAGGGAGAGAGAGAGAGAGAGAGATAGAGAGAGAGAGAGAGAGAGAGAGAGAGAGAGAGAGAGAGAGAGAGAGGAAAAAAACTTGCATAAGAGGGTGTGGATGTTGATGGATACTGAAGATGGGTGGAAACTAAACAAACATGCGTGCACACTTGCACAGTTCAACATCGGCTCAATCCAGCTCTAATAGCCCCGAGCACGAATGAAACAGGATCAGTGTTGGTTGCTGGGTGTGGTGGATGCAGTTTGTTACAATCACACCAACAAGTATGCAAGTAAATTATTTTCCTTGCAGATAATAAAATTAGCTTTCACATCCAATAGTTATGTAAAGAAATAAGACAATTCTCAAACTAAATCCCGTTTATTTTGTAAGAACTTTAATGTTCTTAAGTTTTCTACATAAACACACATCTGCTCTCTAGTGTTCACACACTAAAACACACTAAAACACACACAGGTTAGCCACCCTCTTTAAGAGAGGGTGGGTACCCTTTCTTTCAATGCTGTCTCCCTGTCCTCGGCAGGAGGTTGCCATGGAAACAGGGCTTGACTGGAAACAACAGGAGAGAAAGAAAGAAATCCGGTGCTCTGCCCACCTCTCCACCGCTCCTCCTTTGTGTCCGTCGTTCAAAACACCCCCTCCCCTTCCGGACGATGCATTTCGAACTAATTACGGGTTTTCGACTGGGCCGCTGACCACTCTGCATGTCTTCATCTACGACAACACTGGAGACCTTTAAAAGCAAGAGTCCAGCGGTGTTAGAGCATTATTTCTGTGCTTTCTCTCCCCTCTTCAGTAATAACACCATGTCTGCTCCCAACTCAAGACCGTTATTATGGACCATTATGACCACAGACTCAGCTGAGGGGGCTGAGGAGGTGAAGTCCTGATAGCTTATAAAAGCACTGCGCTGACTGTAGTCAGGGATGTTGCAAACCTCTGTGGGAGAGAGAACTGGATCTGCCTCAGAAAGTCATCATCACGTCGCTGTAACATTAGTGGAGAATCTTTCTCCTTTCTGTCGAACACGAAATGGCTCATGTGGTGGCTGTTCTGTAGATTTTAGCACCTTTTCCTTCACAAGTACTCTCCAGCAGGTCTATATTAATTCATTTATCTGATTTTTTATTTATCAGTTATTTCTTGAGTTTGCCTGTGTCCATGGAGACGGCAAAGACAGACTAACTGTGGATTTTGGCGTTGTATCTGTTGAGATGTCCAGGTGACAAGTTGTCACAACTTGTGGAGTGATGTAACTTTGTTGTGTGGCTAAAGAAAAAGCGGTCGATGGTGCAGTGGCAAGGTTTTACTTTGTTCTTTTTATTTCTTATGATAAACTTGCAAATGAAAAAAGTCAAGTAAAAGACAAATTGTGCATGCTAATTACTGGGAATCTCCGCTGAATTCATTGGATTCTTGCTGAGGAAACAGGTGCTCAGCTGAGTGGCAATCAGGCATGCACTTTCAAGTTGGATGCATTCAGTTTTTACACATGCACACACACCATAGCACATCCACTTAACGTTTCCACAACTGCAGCAGCCAAACAAGGTTCCACCCAGCTTCCTATCTCTATAGCTGCAGGCTAATAAAGATTATGCGTGTGTGTGTGTGTGTGTGTGTGTGTGTGTGTGTGTGTGTGTGTGTGTGTGTGTCCTTTTGCATGTTAGCCTTTTACAGTACTCTGAGAGTTTTCAGCCACTGGCTTTAGTGTCATGGTTCACTGATTTGTCCTCAAGTTTAGCACTGACAGCGCTTGACTGAAAATACCAAGACAGGAGGTGAAAAAAGTTAACAAGTGTTAAATGCTTCTGCAACAAATTAACCCTAAAGGATAATTAGATAAAAGAAAGATATTTTATTACAATTGGAGCCCCTTTCCAGGACATACAATGTGATATGCCTTATAAGTTTACAACTGCAGTGTCGTGTGTCTGATCCTCATGTCTGTGTGACATCCTGCAGCACACACGGAACCCAACGGCCTGTCGCCGAGGCAGATCAAAAGCGATAGCGATGACGACGACCTGCCAAACGTGACCCTGGACAGTGTTAATGAGACCGGCTCCACGGCGCTCTCTATAGCCCGTGCCGTACAAGAGTGAGTATCTTCATCTTTCCACACCAGAGACATCTCCTCACTCTCTTTTGTTATGAGAATGAATGTTTGGTTGAAAAGTGACCTTTTTATAAAAGGTATCTTTGATTCTGTTGTTTATGGCACACTTGTGGAGGGTCAAAAAAGAAAAGGCTGACCTTCCAAAGTAAGCTTTTGGCTGAAGCTTTGGCACAGCCGTTAAAGCGTGGCAGATTCTGACCCGAGTTCTAACGTGACCAGACATGCAGACTTGTTAAAGCCTGTACACCAACACAATCTTCGGCATGTTTACTATGATGCAAGGACCAGTGAAGGTGAGGAGGAAGTAGTGATGGGAATTCCAACTCTTTTAAGGGAACCGGTTCTTACAGCTCGGCTCACCAATGCCACTTACACACTAGCATCGGCTCTACTCCGCTCCGCCCGCCCCAGCCTGGCTGCACTCAATCCACACAGCCTTAGGAATTCGGACGTGATTGAGAACATAGGCAGTCTGTGGCCTGTGGTGTCATGAGCGCATTTCTGAGCACGTGGGCGAGGCAAAAGAGCGTGGAGAAGTCAACGGTTTCTCCATCATTAAACAAAAGCAGCCTGCACAGTGTTGCTTTTGGAGACTCAGCACTCTCGTGACTGTAATTTTGCATCCTAGCCTGCTGTGTTTGGCAGCATTTGTGTGTGTGTGTGTGTGTGTGTGTGTGTGTGTGTGTGTGTGTGTGTGTGTGTGTGTGTGTGTGTGTGTGTGTGTGTGTGTGTGTGTGTGTGCCTACTCACAGCAGTGACAGACAGAGTAAAATGGCATAATTCAGAGGCTTGTTAATTCTACAGCATCCAGAATGTTAATAAATCACGCATGCGGGACTCCCCCACAGGCTGATTCTACCCGCCAATCGGAGGCTGCCCTTAAAGGTACACGTCGGCCCTGTTCGCCTTCAGGCAGACCGCCTCTGGAAGAGGGCTGAAAAAACATCCGGTTGTGCACAGGAAATGAGAAAACTCCCAACCTGGTCTAGGCGGAGCGGAGCCGATGCTGGTTTGTGTTAAATCAGCCGGCTCTTTCGGCTCTCAAACAGCTGCTCACCAAAAATGATACAAAACTGCGTTAACTGTATTACTAATACACAGTGTTGGGAAAGTTACTTAAAAAAGTAATTAGTTATAGTTACCAATTACTTTGTCAAAAAAGCAACTCAGTTACTAAATGAGTTATGAGATTATAAAAGTAACTAATTACCAAGAAAAATAACTACTTTGTTACTTTTTTCATTAAAGAATGCAAGAAAAATGGGTTAATTGAACTTACTTAATTTACTATAAATTACTACAATAGTGAAATATAAATGACTAATGACTGGAACATAATAAAATGTATGCCAAAGTGTTTTTTATAAACCTGAATAATTGTAATAAATAAGCACTTAACAGGATGGACTACTAACAGGAACATTACACTTACCTAGACTATTAAAAGGTCACTGTGTGATATTTAACAAGACCCCAATCAGCAAAAATTTAAAATTGCAAACAGAAACACCTGTAAAGGTTCTTGAGCCTTTAAATGGTCTCTCAGTCTAGTTAAATTACAGAAATGAATGTAATTTTGCACAGCATTTTAATTTTTCCAGCTTCACATAATTGTGTGTTTTTAGTAGCATTTCTGTTGCTGCTAATCTAGTAGTGGTTAAATAAATAAATAAATTAAATAATTTAAAATGACACTAGAAGAGGCACAAGCCTGATGGAGGGCTTAGCCTACATTTACTAACTTGGGTCAGACCCAAACACAGAAGAGCTGAAGCTGGGTGGTAAACACACACAGGTAGTTCTAATAACATCTGAGCTCCATGACGTCTGAGCCTGATGCATCAGTGTTACAGCGGGACTAAAGACATGATCAGAAACAGGTTACAGCTGGATGATCTAGGAAGGTAGAAGATCAGGACGTCTGAGCGGTGAACAGGTGAGCGGACCTTCAGGACGTCCCTCTGTCACGCTAAGAAGGGCACGGCTGCAGATCCACACCTGCAGCCGTAGATATTCATCACGTCTTCCTCGTTCTTCACGGGCTGTGATGCGCTTGGATGAAAACATCTACCTCTTTAGCTCCTGATCAGCTGATGACAGCTTCAACACACCACGCTGCTTAAAGCACGCATGTCCTTATCAGTAACAGAAACGACGTTTTTATAAAAGAAGACGGTAATTAATTAGTTTGCTCGTTACTGAAAGAAATATTTTTTTAGTAACGCGGTTATTTTAAATGGCGTTATTCCCATCACTGCTCTGTTGCGTCTACAGCATGCAGTGACTGAGACAGTGAGGGTCTCCGCCCGGCGCCCACCCGGTCAATCATCATCGTGTTTGTAAGTGCGTTACCGACTCCTCTCTCTCCCTGGCTGCAGCTGAAGTGTGGCGGTCAGAAAGCCTCACACTGCTGCTCAACGTTCGACAAGCACATAGTAACGCACAACCTTCCATCCCCAGTAACGGTAATAGCGTTGCAACAGTGGGAAAAGTAATTAATTCGATTATTCCGTTACCTAAAAAAAGAACGCCGTTAGTAACGCCGTTATTTTAAACAGTGTTATTCCCATCACTGCTAATACATTATACATTAAACCAACTTGTTTTATTCAACTTGAAGCAGAGTGCTACAAAAACACATTTTAAATGACAAACAAACTCCAAGTAAATTATTTATTAACCTTGAATCATTAAAGCCTGTTGGATACAATCACTTCTCTTTGCGTATTCCATACTCTGCCTTTGAATTGTCACTGTAGTTAAAATGACGGCTCTCGGTTGTGGGGCAGGTTCTACCGTTGTCTTTCAAATGATCTCCGCATGCTACTGGACAATGAATGTGACATACTCACCGCAACAGCCATCGGTAAATGAGGCGGTCTACAGTTGAAGAAGGAGAAAACACATCATTTTTCTAAAAAAATAAAGCACTTAAATACATCTATCTGCTCCTGATTCTAATGAAGCCCAAGTTCTAATAATCCAAAATTGATGTAAAAGCCGTTTCAAACGAGCTGTCGCCATCTTGTTTCACCATCCCACCCACCAGGCATATAGAGTGCCCTGATTGGCCCACAAAGCGGATAAAGCTCTGTGATTTGTTCACTAAGCAGATAGAGCACTATGATTGGCCCACCATGATGGACCAATCACAGCTCTTTATGTGTTTAAAACCCCTCTAGAGAGCTGTGATTGGCTAGCCAGAATGCTGTTAGGGGCTGCAGAGGTGCCAGTGGAGTGTTCCTAGACCAACTTTGCAAAGCAAGAATTTGGTCTAGTTCTGAGAGCTGTTTCGACACATCACTAGGAGGAATGCACCTTACAGCTGCTTGTCATCAAATCTAACACCTGCAAGGAAATTTCTAAATAATATTTCTGTTTTTATTCGGTGTTGGTGATCCCAAGTGTCTGAAAAAAATTGCATTTGCATTCAGTACTGGAGAGCTAACGGGTAATCCGAGTCATATTTATGTTTATGTTTATTTATTTAGCAGACACTTTTATCCAAAGCGACTTACAATTTATAACCTATAGGGCATGTTGTGATCTGTGGGGGAAACCGGAGTACCCGGAGGAAACCCACGCATGCATGGGGAGAACACGCAACTTCACGCAGAAAGGCTGCAGCCGAGTTTCGAACCTACGACCTTCGTGCCACTATGCTGCCGTCCATTTCAAAATGCCGTCCAAAACAAAATTTCACTAATAAAAAAATACGACATTTTTAAATAAACATTTATTCGGATATTTAGATTTTTATTCAAGAGCAATAATTTCATCAGCAGCAAATTGTAGCATTCCTGCGCATCTTGAGTCAAGTCCAGCTGGAATCTCTCATTGTTTCAGACAGAATATCAGTAAAATCCAGACTTCATGCACAGGTAAAGATTTTTAAAATCACATTTACATAAATCTTGGGAAACTGAAGTTGTTTACTTAAATCAGCATCTTGGGTCAGACACTAGCTTTCCAGTCCTAGATGTAAACTGTATATTTATTTTAACATCGGGGATTCAGAAAGCAGGCATTCAATATTTATTGTCTTATATCACTTTTAAACACACATACCCTTCAGAGTTGCCTAAATAAATCATGCAATCAAAAAGTAGAATCTTAAAGCCATACTTTTTCTTTTTTTTTAATCATTTTCTTTAGCCAGTATGTGCTAAAACGACCCTTGCAACTTCAGAGTGGCAGGCTGCCACCTGTTGGACCTGTTGGACTGGTGCTGGAGTCTGCTTCCAGCACGTTTCCTGCATGTTTTAGATCATGAGCACAGCTGATTTAATTTAGCAATGAACCGTTCCTGTAGACACCAATGAAGGCTGGGGAAACATTTCAGCCCTTAGATTATGAGTCGTAAAAAATGAACACACAGCAAGGAGACAGGTTTAGCGTTTGTTTTTGCTAAATAAACATGGGTGTGTGTGTGTGTGGGGGGGGGGGGGGGGGGGGGGGGGGGGGGCTGATAAAAGCAAGCAAAAACTACCAAATGGTTTCACTCACCAAAGCAAAGCTTTATTTATGTAACCAGATGAGTCGATTGAGAACTCAGTCTCATTCGCAACGATCTGGCCAAGAGGCAGAGGCTTTAAATATGGCCACTGTGGATTAATGTTTGTAGATTTTATTTTTGTAAACACTGCACCAGTGTGTTCACGTTAGGGGGACATTTAAGAAGAAGCATTGAAGCTACTTCTAAAGCTTGTATGAAATGAAAGTACCTGGGGATTTTGCATTGCTATGGTTATTTCTTTGATTTTCTATAAGTTAAGGATTAAAAAACCAAGATGTGTGGGAATCCAGGCCATTCAGAAATTATTTATTTATTTATTTATTTATTTTACTTTGGCTACTGTGATATTTCATGTTTAGGGAAAAACAAAACAAAATAAGGTGAAACTGCCTCAGATCCTTCTTTCTGTAGCTAAATGAATCATTTTGCTTGTGTTGATCATTTTAGTTAACCAGAAATAAAACGT